TATAAATGATTGCTGAATGTTAGAGGAGATTTGCCTTTGCTTATTTATTTACTTACTTATTTTCAACTTTATGGTAAGAATCTTTTTTTAAACTTTGTACTTTGTTATGGCTGTATTAGTAAAAGCTTAAAAAATATAACTGTGTTCAGGTGTTTCAATTTAGTGTGGAATGAATGATACAGAAATGTGTGACCAACATGTGTGACGTTATTAAAATGACTTCTTGGGTTGTTTCTTTGGCTATCCCATGATATTTTTGTAATTGATAACATGATTTTTATTATAATGGTGTTTTGATTTTGTTGTTGCAGATACTTTAGTTAGTCTGACCACTTTTAGTATATTATTGAATAGACTATAAATTTTATGACCTATTCTGAAATATACTTTGCATAAATGTAGGTTAAATGCAAATTATATTAATAGTGGAATTTATATGTGGGTAGAGATCACTTTAGAGGCCTTTTGAGATTTTAGACATTGGATCAAAAGGGTTTATTTTAGTATGAGTGCCTGATGTGAAATAGCATCTGTATTAATTGGTTGGTTATATAAGTCTTATTCACTCCGGCCTGTAGGTGATTGAAATAGCCTAGTTGTTAGAAAATCTTAATTTACATTAGGTTTAAAATAAGTCTGGGGCATATTTCTTAAAACACATTTTTTCTTTAAAGATCACATCTAATTTTATTTAGCAGTGAGTTCTCACTGTGTACTACTATTTAAGTGAGCAAATTAAATAGGAAAAGTAGGTTTGTGCTTTTACCCTTCTAAGGACATCCTGATAATTGTGTAATGCAGTATTTACAGGTATGTGCCAAATTAATGGGCATTTGCTTCCATATTTCTGAGTCATGGAAAATATATGTATTTGTAAATTGTGTTGCAAAAAAATTTTCAAGATGTATGTTGAATGAAGCTAAAACCATAAAAAAAAAACCCAAAAAACAATTACTGATTGACCTTTGCAGAAGGGTTTAAAAGCCCATGCTCTCCTTATTTTTGTAATTTCAGAAAGCCAACTGCTGTCATTTTTCTTCTGGGTTATTCTATGTGGGTTTTGTATTTTTCAAGTAAATAAAGATATTCCATTTTTTTAAAAAGAGAAAAGATCCATTAAGTTTCCTTTCCCTTTGAATTGTGTGTGATCACTCTGTGCTAAACTGGATTAGAGTGTGACTTTTAATGATGGTGGTGGTTTTCATTTTA